CTTTAGACTCTGTGTCTATTTGTTTTATTTTTGTATCTGTAAAAATAGTAGCCTCTTTACTTTTTCCTTCCTCTTTTTCGCTTTCTTCAGACTCATTATCAGTTTCGTTTTCTATATCAATTTCCATGTTGTTATTAGAAGTTGACCCTTGTGCTTTCAAAATATTGCAACATTTCGCGTCTTCAGAATTGGTCTTAAAAAAGTTATCATTTACAAAGTCAATGAATAAACCTGTTACATTTCTGTTCTTCATCTTACAAAAATGTGAGAAATTTGTCATACATTTCCACAATAGAATTTTATGATTTTCATAGTCTGGTTTATCATTACATTTTTGTATTGCATTTTCTATTTCAGAAATAACTTTACATTCAAATAATGGTTTATAATATACAGTTACTTCATGATTAGATTTTAATTCAGTTAAGAATATAGCCCAAAATGGCTCATATTCTCTGATTGCAAAAGTAACTATAATTTTACTTATAGGTTCCCATAACAAAGAGAAATTTATATATAGATTTCCTAGTAAATATCGTAATGGAAGTTCATAATATTTCGAATCCAAATTTATCATTGCGCCACTCTGATGTGACAATGCTTGTAAATGCAACAGTTTACTTCGATAACTCTGTACAATTACAGGTTCACATTCTGCCAGATACATATGTTCCATAGCATTTGTTTCCTTCTTCTCATTTATAGTATGCGATTTCACGTCAGTGATGTTAGAGAATAAATAATATAAATGAGTTACTATTAAGCGTATATCACTGAAGGGTGAACTTAATTTTTGTGCAATACTGCTATTTAATTTATCAAATACAGTTCGATTTATGTACACTTCCTTATATTGCGATGTACTAAAATATGTTATACATAGATCTGTTGCATTCAGAATGAATTTATTATCAGGATATTTAGTAATTAAATCTAATATTTTTAAATCATTCTTCTCCATAAATTCGTGCAGAGATTCTAATTCCAATATGTGAATTACAGATTCTA